TCTCTCAGCTCTTGTGCCTCTTCTAGGCTTTCCCAAACGCTCAGTGTTCTTCCTCCTGAAGATTCCCCCACCTTTTCTATTTTTCTTTTGCTTCTGTGTGAGCGCATGTTCTGTGTACCTGGCCGTACCATAGCCCCATTTCCCACTTGCAAAGATCTGAATGGCACACCAGGCTCTTAAACCAGGAGCAAAGAACAAAGGGCAGGCTCTGTTCCCTGCTCCCACATCCTACAGCAATATGGATGCCTGGAGAACAGAGCTCTGGAACATCAGTCATAGCGGATGATCATACGCACTGGAATGCCACTAATTCATTTAGTTCCTGGACACAAGCCAGGCTGCACCCCCAGAGTCCAGCCTCTCCTCATCTGCAGGTTGACAGGCCAGGAAGGGTGCTTCCGTCCATACAGTGAGCATCTAGAGGGTGTTATCAGCACGCTGACTCTAGCTGGACTTAGGGGGCCAGCATTTGAATGGAATACAAACCTATGAACCCACTGCCTTTAAACTCCTTGCAGAAAGTCATCTGAAATTAGTAGGAAACTCTGAGCCTGTAGCTGGTAATTCTGTCTGTGTGTTTAAATGGCTCCCACACCCCGCAGACTGAGAACCAGGGAAGCACAAACAAACTTCACTGTAACAAGACCTCTCAGGGCACTGAGGGAAGAAATTAATCTAAATGCTAGTGCAGGGGCTGTGTCCATCACAGACTCAGGAGACTTGCCCGACACAAGCTCGGATCTTCTTTTCATGTTGATCATGCCACCTCCACTAAACATTTAATAAAATCAATGGTGAGTCATTTATTTAGCCTTTCTGTCTGGAAATAAAGATAATACTGCACTTCGACTTCATTCAATCTTAGAATTCAAAAAGTGAAAACATTGGGTGCTTTAATCCTGATCTTAGTTAATGAGATGCAGGCTGGGGAAGTGAGTTTTATGGCAATCCATTATGATTACCAGGCCCGAAAGCATGCTTTTGTGTTTAACCTCAGAACCTAAGTTGTAATCGCAAGTCTTCATATTCCCAGTTAGAGAAGAGAATAATGTCCACTGGTGTGTGGTTTAACACAAGCCAAGTCCACATTTGAAAATGACAGTGCAAAGTCTATTTCTTTGTACAAGTAAGGTGTGGTAACAACATTCTTTCTAAGTGGATCTTACTAGACCTTTCCATATCCCTAGTTTATGCGCTCCCCTAAATGAGGTTAGAATTATGTAAGAAATCAAATTGCCATTTGGCCTTCTACTGAAAACACCGTATTTGCCTGTAACTCTCAGAATCCGTGCTTGGCCACCATCTGAGCTATGGCTCTTCCACAGACCCGATCACGCACACAGAGCACTGGCTCCAGCTCCACATTGACAGAGGGATCCTAAGAGCCTACTACAGCACTGATTCTCACCGTGGTTCCTGTCATCTCTCTGACTCTCCACTGAGCTCCAAGAGAACACTGTGTGATGCCCCAAACCACTGTTGTATGATACTTTTAACCAGTATCTATGTCTGATTGTAAAGCCCATGCACCTTTTATCCATCGTCCTAGTATTGAAGTAAGGGATGGTCAGTCCTAGCTTTCTTCTTTCCTCCAAAATGATTGTCTTCAGGTGAGAGGCAATAGATCTATTTTGGTGCCTGAGGTACGCATATGTGTGTGCACATCTGCCCTTGAATGTCTTTGATGGTCTTTCAACCATGTCTTCACATGGTATAGTCTTTTCACTGTGGTCTGTGTCTACATGGACCAAAGATCCTCAGCCCTGACCTTGGATTAACCCATTTCACCTAAGTCAAAATAAGCAGAGAGCCCAGGACAGAGCTCTGGGTGGGCTTAGGGTCTCATGCTTAAGTCACAGATGTTGCCCGATATATCATGTAGTGGGATTGCCTTCCCATATACTCTCCAAACAGGGCAATAGATCATGTCACGTTTTAAATCCACTCTCCATTAAAATCTCATTCATAGCTCTCCTGACTGAGTTGGTTTTTACTGAAAAGCCACTTAAAAGCAAAGGTGAGGACCTAGGACAGACTTGCTCCCAGGAATCCTCTTCCTCCTTGGGCGTGGCTCTTCGTTACTTTGGGCCTTGCTGGAAGAATTTCAAATGTAGTTACTAGACCTAAGCCTTCATTTTGATCCCAATTCATCTCCTAGATCGCCCCAAGAACGTCTGACATACTGCAATACAAATGTGAAAGTCAGGTGCACCCTGAGCGCCGCCGTTCTCACAAGCCCCTAATCTGGACTTTATTTCCAACTAAATACTTACTATACTTAAACTGTTCTATTTGACCACATGTCATTCCCCTGCCGAATGCTATTACTACTAATAATAAGTAACTAAATAAATAATGGTTAGTTCTGAGGTATGAAAACCACATTGCATTAAGTTGTCCAAGCTTAAACCCAGCATCAGGACCAGTTTACTGTTGTCCTTTCCCCTCCAAGTCCAAAAGTCCACAAAGTGCAGAGCTGACCCCAAGGACCATTTGGCCTTTCAGGGTCTTTTCTGTCCAGCCCAGGTTTGTATTGACTCAAGGGAAAGCTAGAGATCTCTGGAGTTTCTGCAGCTACAATGAGCCCTGAGGGCTACAGAAGATGTTCAAACCACACACACACACACACACACACACACACACCTGCCCCAGCTCCCAAATAATCCTGAGAACAGAGGGAAACAAATGTCTCTGCTTTGACCAACAACTACTCATATAACTGCCTCCAGTCATGCCTGGGAGTTTATTAACACCAGTAGCCATTTGTAGTTCATTCAACTAAGGAAAACCTTCAGCATCTGGTGGCCTCCCCAGTTCCTTGGCTGCTTGTCCCTTTTATTAAATGTTTAAAGCAGATTTAAGTTTTAGTCAAAAGAGAAATTCCTTTTTTCCAAATAACACTGGAGGCCTAGGGACTTGGAGATGGGCCAGCAGGGGGAGCTCAGGGGCAGTGGTGTGAATGAGAAGCCAAGCTTAGTGCAAGGGGAAGTGGGGTGTGGAAGGTCTGCGTCTTAGGGACTTTTACCCACAGGGTTTAAGGAATTCACACTCTGGCTGTGATACTAAGTCATGGGCAGCTGGGCCAGTGTAGGGAGTGTGAGGCTGCCCTAGTTACAGGGTGAACAGAAAAGAGGTTGTGACCCTAACTGTGGGTTGAACTCTGGGACAAGGCTTCTCCCTGGAGACTCACACAGTCACCTTCTCAGCTGGGTGCCCAAGGAGGCACTGGAGGATTTCTCTATGCATGAGCCTATGCATCAGCACAGAATGAGGGATAGGGCACTGTTTCAGGTCACTGACTGGACACAGGGGAGGGTCCCTGTTGTGAGGTCAGTCTGCAGTGCCTGCAGTTTCTAGGCCCCTCCTTGGTAAGAATATGTTGAGTTCTGAATGGGAAAAGCTATCCACACAGCCATCCCTTCTTCCTGTAAGCAAGGTGAGGTGTTCGTAAACCTCGTGCTTCTGAAATCTTAGTGAACCCAGAAGAAAGCCCCTCCCCAACACGTAAAAGAAAAGAGACCTTGTCCTCAGTGCCCTTGGTCTTCAGAGCCCTGCCTCCTTTCCCTGGATTCTCTACCTCCTTCTGCCCCTCCCTCTCTAGCTGTTCAAAGAGCCCCACACGCATTCAGACAGCACCAGGCACCAGGTACCAGGTACTTCAATGTGATAAGGCTAGCCCCAGATCTAGATGGTGGTCTTGAATCAGTTGGTCTACTTCTCTGTGCCTCAGTTTCCTCCTCTGTCACCGACTGCCCAGGGTATGGAGAGGCTCACAGAAGGGGACACGTGTGGGAGTGCTTGGCACTTCTCTCAGCATTTACACCACGAGGCAACCAATGGCTGTCACTGTGGCTTCTGTTCCCAGGGTTGCCAGGAGACTCCCATCTCTCAGATCCACCCTCCTCCTCTCCAAGTTCTTGGCTCTCTCCCAAGTCCTGTGCCTGGGTGCTGCACCACCTTGCCCTTCTGCCTGTTGTTTAGATCCAGAGTCGTCCATAGAGGAGAGAGGAGCTGAGAGGAGGCATCTGATTTCTGAAGTTGTCAATTCTACTCTAGACTTCCAAAAAAAGATAACCCATCTGTCAAACATTTTTTAAAAAATAAAATACAAAGAAGATAACAGATCTTTCAAAGCAATTAAGTATCAACTAAGAGGAAATGAAAACAGACTTGGCTGGGCTTTAGCTGAAAGGATGGCTCTGTATAACCCCAAATCTTCTTGTGGGAGAGATTACAATCTCTTTTTAAAAGAAAAATATGCAAGCCACCAGTTTGCCACAGCATAGCATATTCTATATACATTTAATCAGAAAAGGGTTTTGGGTTTGAATGAGCTCTTCTGCCAACACTCCCTGGTACCTCAGAGCTCTCTCTCTCCCTCTCTCCCTCTCTCTCTCTCTCTCTCTCTCTCTCTCTCTCTCTCTCTCTCTCACACACACACACACACACACACACACACACACACACACACTCAAGCTTGGACTCCACATGTTTCCTGGGGCTCTGATTAACTGATTAACTGCAAGCCCCATCACAGACAATGATTCTGCAGGAGATGCACCCCTGCACAAATCCTCACCCCTCCTTCCCCACCTCTTTTCTGAGACTGGATTTCCCAGGTGATTAGCACTGTCTGCTAACATTCAGATTGTGTCCCAAGGAAACACGTGAGGACACACTCCCTGGGAAAAGCACAAATATTCATGAGAAATCAAATAACTGGCTTTCTCTTCAGAGGTACAAAACCCAAAGTCATAGATCAGAAACAATATACCTATAGCCCTTTCTCTTTCTAAGGTTAATTTCAAAAGTTGCAAACTTAGCAAATTTCTACACCACATTCAGACCAAGCTATCAGGATAGTCTATACTCAAAGCAAATAATAACAGGATCCATCTACCTCTCAGCCCCACTGGGCACCCTTCAGGTTTCTGAGAATCCCACAGGGGCAGAGCCTTCTCACTCCGCAGTTTCCCTGTGCGAGTGCAAGGATTGCTCACCTCACTCATGTTGGCCTGACTCCGCAGCTAGGTCCCACAGAACAGCTCAGAAGGCAATGCTCAGGGGTGGCTGCTTCTCCGGTCCTGGCTTTTCTCTTAAAAAGAGCTGCTGGGTGGCATCATGCCTCTCGCCAACCAATGAGATGCATTCACCTGTCTGAACGCCTGCAGACATCCGAGAGCACAAAGAGCCACCTAGTGGAGCACAGTGGAACTGCGTGGCAGCTCTCTGCTCCGCTTCCATTCAGGAACCAAGGAATTTGCTGCATACCAGAGCATCCATCCTAAAAGGATTCTACACCCTACCGCAGAGATACTTGCTCATCCATGTTCATGGCTGCTCAAGTCACAATAGCAAGGAAAGAGAATCATCTTAGATTCCCATCAGCAGTCAAAAGGATAATTCATTAAGCTTCACTATAGAAGATTTTAAGCCATAAGGGAAAAAAATGAATCATGACATTTGCAGGGAGATGGAAGAAAATGGGAAATATTACAGTAAGCAAGGTAAGGCAGACTCAGAAGGACAAATTAGACATGTGGTATGAAATTGGACAGGGAATGCTGGAGATAGAAGATGCGAGGAAGAGGGGCAAAGAAATGGTCTAGAAGAAGGGGTGGGGATGGCCAACTGAATCTCAAGATGTTTGAAATGCCTCAAGGAGACCTGTTGCTTTGGAAGGTTTTTTTATTTTTTTAATTTAAAGGAAAGAGAAACATATCAGCCACAGGCACACAGCTGGCCACAGGACTGCCCCTGTCGGTGGATTGAGAGACATAGGATTCACACTCACTGGGACTAGATCTTACATGTCTGTGATTGACAGGTTCCATTTCCCAGTGACAAGCAAAGAGAAACCTTATATGGAGTGGTTCTTGTCCCTTCTGGGCTCCCAGTTGTTCCCCATCCCCTTTGGGGGCACCAGCCTCAAACTTTAGAGTTGAGCACCCTCTGTTTAATGTCCACCCCATCGGTCTGCCTGCTTGGACCCTCGGATGGAAGGACATGTGTGCTGTGACCTTTGGAGTCCAACAGTCTTGAATCCCACTTGGCAGAGACATGAGGGAAAACAGCTTTTTTTCACTTAGGGTTGTGACATCCCCACCTAGAGACAGGATCCCATAAAAGGCCTCCTCACCTTAGTCCTGACTAGCCTTTGAGGAAATCAGCTCTTTTCTATCCCCCTCAGTCCAGACCTTGGAAGCCTGGAAATGTTAGCAGCTTATGTCCTGGCTGATTGTAATGAGCATCAACATGACTGGCAAGACTATGTTAAGAGCCCCCAGACCTTTGTTCTAGTGCCTCCTGTACCCAGAACAATCTCCACGACACCCCTGTCCACTGATTCCCTCTTCTCGGCTCAGCTGTGTTCTCCTCCCCAAGTTGTCAGCTTTCTGTTCCCAGTTCTAACATTACGGCATCCTCCGTGTGTCTCCAAATGGAAAGGATGAGGCCAGCAGCTCTAGTACACACATGGGGAGGGAGGGGTGTGAGAAGAGGAAGCAGAAGATCAGAGCCTCACCTACAGCTCCTATGGGTGCCCAACCCCCTAACCCAGAGCCACTGTCATGGACGTCATGTCTTCCAAGTGGAAGCACTGGATGTTCACCAGGATGCCTATTTCACAGAGTGAAATAGGTGGATGATACCGCATACAGTATGTGCATACATGTATGCCCCTATACATATGTATTACATGTACATATTGTGTACCACATACAAGTTAGTGCATGTCCCGATCATATAAATAAAGACAGCATCTTCTTCATTCTCTCCTTCCTGGTCCCTTTTGTGCTTCCAATTCGTCCTTTTGAAGGCCCATGATATCCTTAGGTATCCCCAGGTCCTGGAAGTAGACCCAAGACCTTAGTGCTAACTGCTCTGCAAACAGCCCAGATAAATGGAAGCCCACTCATCCTCAGAGGAGAACCATGTAGCTTCTGAGGATGCAACCACTCCCTCCTCCCAGGAGACACCAGACTTGGCAATCTGAGCCCCCAGGCACCATATGATGGCAGACACAACCCCTCAGTTCAAACTTAACAAAGTTCCATCTGGGTTTTTTACAGCCTGGTCTCCTACAGAGAAGAAAAGCAGAGATGTCACCAAAAGCCAGTCTTTACCTGTTCACCAAATGATGCAGCAGGCCTGAATTTCCTAGTAAAACACAGAAGAGTGTGTGTGTGCTTGCAGTTTCCTGGAGCTTGGGAAGAAGGAAACAGATGCTAGAATTCCAAAAGAAGGGGCTTGGATTGGACATTCCAGGCTGGGCTGCAACTTTGATTACTCAAATGTACAATTGCTGGGGATTAAGATGGGTGGGGGAGGAGGTGGGTGCTATCGTGGCCTGAATTGACACACTACTTCACAATTCACTAATCCCCAGGAGCTTGAATTATGGCTGTTTGGGCTCAGTCTTTCATAGAGCTAATCACATTAAGATGGCCTAGCCCAAAACTCCTGGTGTCCTCATGAGATTAAGACTCAAGCAGACAGAGTACAACCTTGGGAGGACGTACAGAGAAGTCACCATCTACAAACCAAGGAGGGACCACAGAGAGAGCCTTTAATGAAATGTCTTGATCCCTAACATCCATCCTCAGTGTCTGTGATGTAAGTCTGCCGCTGTGGTAGTGTGAATAAGACTTGCCCCCCTAAGCTCATATATTTGAATACTTGGTCCCCAGTTGGTGGAATCATTTGGGAATTTATTAGGAGGTGTGACCTTGTTTGGAGGAGATGAGTAACTGGTGTTTCAAATTCCCACACTATTCCCAATCTGTATGTCTCTGTCTCTCTCTGTCTCTGTCTCTCTGTCTCTCTCTGTCTCTGTCTCTCTGTCTGTGTGTGTGTGTGTCTGTCTCTCTGTCTCTCTCTGTCTCTCTGTCTCTGTGTGTGTGTGTGTCTGTCTCTCTCTCTCTCTCTCTCTCTCTCTCTGTGTGTGTCTGTCTGTCTGTCTCTCTTTTACCCTATATCTCCTTTCTCTCCCACTCTCCCTATCTCTGTCTCTCTAACTCTCTGTCACTGTGTCTGTGTGTGTCTCTGTCCTTCTTGCTGTTTCTCCATCTCTCTCTATCTCTATCCCTCTCGGTCTCTCTCTGTCACTCTTTCTGTCTCTTTCTCTGTCTCTCTGTCTGTGTGTGTCTCTCTCTCATTCTCTGCCTTAAGTTTCTGTCTCAAGATGTGAGTTCTCAGATACTGCTCCAGGACTGCCAGCTGCCGTATTCCCTACCATGATGCTCATGGATTGTAACCTCCTAAAACCATGAGCCCCAAATAAACACTTTCTTTTCTAAGTTGCCTTGTCATGTTGTCTTATCACAATAGGAAAGTTACTATGATAAGTGCTCTGTTTTGGCAGGCTCTCACACTCAATTTCATGACATGGGCCCTGGAGGACTCTTCAGAGAACAGGAAAGCTCCTTATGGAGGAATGTCATGCCTGTTTGCCACTTGGAGGGTGTCTTAGCCTTCCTCAGTAGGACAGCTGCCTCCTGTAAGTGTGCAAATTGCACCCATTGTCTTTGAGACATGGGCACACACACAAGCAAAATCAGGCATGCCCACAGAGGCACAGGTACACTCACCTGTGGAGGTAGAAGAACTTGCTTGTGAGTGAGTGAGCTTCAAGCACACAGTCACCGTCTCCTAAGGTGGCCAATGAGACTTTCAGGGCTCTGGGGTCCCTGGAGAACCACCCTTCAATCTGAGATTAAAAGAACTCCATAGCCAACATTTCAGAACCTCTGACACTGGGGCTGAGGACTACGCCTAGCTAGGGCTAGGGCTAACTTTTCTGAGTGGCTCTAATAAGCAGGTAAATTTGAGAACTATTTAAAACAATGATAAGGGACAGACACATACTCATGTGTATACATGTTCACATATATACACACATACATACTTAAATATGAGAACACATACATAAACATTTCTGCACACATATATGCATACATATTTCTACCCACATGTGCACACACACACACACACACACACCATTCCCTCCATGCAAACCTTCTAGACTTTCTTCTACCACCTCCACCTAGCCCCATCTCCCTTTTAGGGTCATCTTGGTTATTGTTTGTTTTTTTTATACTGATGTCCTTCAGTATCCAAGGGGAGGCATTTCAGGATTCCCAATGGATGTCAAAATCTACAGCTGTTCAAATTCCTTGTCTAAAATGGTGACGTCTTTGCAGAGGGTCCTCTGTGCTCCTTCCACCATCCCTGGATCCCCTTTACACTGTGATAGCTGGACAGAAAACAGCAACAAGAGAACAAAAAGCCAGCCACCCCATCAGCTGCAATGCATCTTCAAACAGCCCCATCCACCACTGCAGATGGGGAGCCCGTGGATGTTCAATCAGCTCTGGCTTCTCCACACACAGCTTCCCACAGATCACACCACATGACACAGTAGATGCCACAAGAGCCAGGAATTTGCGAACTGAATCCAGGGTGTGACAAATACTTTTGTATATAACTTTGTCAACGCCTCTGATCCTCGGGGTCCATTCCTCTACTAAAAACAGAAACATTATAAGTTTGCCTCTGTTTACCTAAGATAGATAGATAGATAGATAGATAGATAGATAGATAGATAGATAGATAGATGATAGATAGATGATAGATAGATGATAGATAGATGATAGATAGATAGATAGATAGATAGATAGATAGATGTGTGTGTATGTGTGTGTATGTGTGTGTGTGTGTGTGCGCATATATGAACTAAGTATACTGAATTGAGCTTAGAAATAAATGTTGAAAGAACTTCAGGAGAGTCAGATTTATAGTTTCATATACTACATTTCAATTTATGTTTCACCTTTGCTGTGTTAAATATAGTCAGGTTTTATAATTTATAATTTATGAAAATTCTGTGTGTGTGTGTGTGTGTGTGTGTGTATACTCATGCAGTAAAGACATCTTCTTGCCTGAGGGAGTGGGCCACAAAATTGATGAAACTATAGGCATACTCTATTTTTGATTGGGCTTTTAATTAGACTTTTATGCCAAATGCATCATTCTTCAGACACCGTGGAGAAGAATTTTTTAGGCCTATTTTAAGCCAGACCTCATATAATCCTAGCTGCCTGAAAGCCTGTTGTAATCCCAACTTCTTGGGAGGCTGAGGCAGGAGGATGTCAATTTCAAAGCCAACCTGGACAACTTAGTGAGC